CAGCCGCGGGCCACGGCGGGCCCAGCCGGCAACCGCGGCCGGCGCTGGGAACCTGCAATCTCCGGGAGCGCGTGGGGACGCGGGGGGACTGCGCCAGGGAAACGGGCCCCGCGCACCGCGCCGCCTGCGCAGGGTTCAGGCTTCCTCCAGCGGCGCGAGGGGAGCGCAGGCAGGGGCGGCGGGCTGAGGCGCGGGTCCGCTCCGGTCGTTGTCGTCGGGGAGCATCGTCGCTCTAAGGACGCGGGTGGCCAAGCTCCAGGCCGCGGCCGGAGCAGGAAAGTTTCTGTGGCGGCGCCGGCCCCCCCCCCCCCCGCCCCCCCCCGCCCCTCCGCCCGTTTACCCTCCGGCCCCCACCCTCCGCCGCACTTCGCTCCCGGGCTCCCTGCGCGGCGGCCGCGGCGCTGCGCTCCTGCCTGGGATCCGGGTGTTAACCCTGTCCCCTCCTGGGCGCCGGGCTCTGACTAGCCTAGGTGACACGCGTCGGGGTCCTGCCAGCCACAAAAGGATCTCCAACTCCTGACAGAACTCCCTACCACTCCTTTCCCCCTTCCACTCCTTAGAATCCTCTGGGAGAGAAACCAACTTTAAGTTTCTGTGAAGTCTGATTGTTTTGAAGCCTGGTGAAGACATTCCTCTCTAGAATTAGCTTAGATTTTAGTTCACATGTTCCCACCTAGATGTGTTTACTTTCCAGGATGAAAAGTTTTTCAGTTTCTGTCCCACCTCCTTTTCCTCCTCCCACCTGGGAGTGTGTGTGTGTGTGTGTTGTCCTTAGCTGCTGAGATGGAGAGATTTTAGATCATCTTCTAACCTAAGTACGCACTTCACCCTGTAGTGCTCCAACTTCTTGAAGAATAGCTGTGTCAGGATCTTAGTATTCGGTGTGGGTTGTCGATAGAATTGTCCTACAAGCAAGGAGATTTTCCAATTGTTGCAGTGGGCTGGAGTTTCAAATAAATAGTTAGTTCTTACCAAGAGGTAGTTATCCTCCTTTGGTAAGCTCACCTAATAAATTTCCATCCTCTTGAAACCTAGGCTGCGAAATAATCTGCTGCTTTACATCTCATCCTGCCATCTATAGGGTTTCTGAGAATTTAGTTATTTTTCTTAAGAATCTGCTTTTAATTTCTATGTTTTCATTGCTTTGTCCATTTGAACCATCTGTTAAAAACACTCCTCTACAGATCATGGGAAAAATTCCATTAAAGTGCTTTTCATTTTTCCCAATTAAGTTTCAAGGACTGTTAAGATTTTTAGTTTCAATTTTTTTTTGTTTAAGTATACATGAACTATAAAATAGCACATAAACCTTAAATTAAGACAGATAAGATCATGTAAACAGTATGTTTCATGGCTTGATTTACATTCTCATGAGTGGGGGAATGGGATTTAGAAACCTTCCATCTGTATTTTCGTCATTAATCAACGTACTGGCAAAATAGCCAATCACCACTAAAGTCATTCTAACTCCAATATCCAACAATGTCTATCAGTCTAATACTCCTCGATTGGGAGAGGGACATGTGGAGACAATAATGCTATTTGTCAATTAATAGAATGACATAAACAACAGTATTTTTTTTTTCATCAAGTGATTTTTCATCACACAACCTGAAAGACAAAAAAAAAAAAAAAAAAAAAAGCCAAACGAATGATATCCTTCCAACTTTTGCCATGTTACTATTCCAAGGAACTAAATTTAATGCCAACTACTAAGATATAAAGCATGATAAAATATAACACTCTCTTCCTGTTTTTCATCAACTTCAAGTCCTGTGATTAATCCTTTAGAAATGCATCAGCATTCTTTGATAAGTAGCATTTAACATGTTGGGCGTCGATATTCGGTTTTCTTTAAAAGCCTTACATGACAAGACAGATTTATGCTAGATTCTGAGAGGAGTTATCATTTACCCATTCATGTATGTAATTGTATGTTTTGTGCCTACTGTCTACATTATTAGGATCTGGGTGGAGAGGTGGTTTATAGAGAAAGATAAATAAAGCAAAGCATTGTGCTTGACCTACAGCAGAAAGGAAAATACAGAGAGAGTGAGCACCCGAAAACATGAGGTAGAATATACTATGGTGCAGAGCCTCACACAGATGCTGTTCCAATAAAGCATTGATGGCATTATCAATATGTTTCCAAGCAGGCCCACTATGCATATGCATGGCATTAGGATTTTTTTCCTCCCATCCTTCACCCATTAGAACCTAAAGTTTACTGGACTTTTTCTTGTAGGTGCTCTCAGGGTTACTCATGGCTTGGCCTGTGATTCATACTTTAATTATACCTGCTAGTCAGGCTTTCTCTTATGCCACATTAACCTAGCTACTCGAGAAACACCAGAAGTTTTTTGTTTTTTTTTTCCCCTTTGAGGTGCATGTACTGTCTGTTTTGAACTGTTGTTTTCATGTATTATTTTTCCCACTATAATAATTGAACCATGCTTTTTCCAAGAGAATAGGCTTTCTAAATAAAAGATTATCTATACCTAAGAGCTTGTATTCATAGGACGTTTAATGGATTGAAAAATAGCCTTTCCAAAAATATTTCCACTTCACAATATGGAGCACTGTCAACTGCCTGATGAGCTTCACAAATATTACTGGCTAACACCCACCCTGGCAAGGTTGCTGGCACAGAGACATGCCTCTGTCTGTTGTCCAAATTTTGAAAGACGAATATGTGGAGCTTTGTTTATCTATAAGAGCAAATAGGTAGTCAAGCATAGTAAACTAATAATACATGGTATTTGTAAATCCGCCTCAAACTATTTTCTTGACCTAGATCATGTCTAGCACCTAATCCTGAGATATAATATGTACTCAGTGAGTGTGACTGTCAAGTTATAATCCTTTTCCAATTCATTATGAAAATTTAGGCCTCCCAGATGCAGATATTCTGAGGCTAAGTCCAAGTCTGGTAAAAGATGACTAAACAGACCGTAAGTACACTAAAAGACTCCAGGGATTCTTCAGACCTTCCTGCAGTGAGAATGCAATGCTTTTGTTGCCACTTGCATTCCAACCTATTTGTTATCTTTTCTCAATGTGCGTTCCTTGACTGCACATTTTGTAATATTCTAGTTCAACCTTACATCACATCTACAACAAGTAATTTGGAGCCCAAATAAACAAAACATATTATTCATTTCTAACATATTTTATTGTGGTTAAATATACAGAACATAAAAATTAACTTTCTTTAAGTTTTTGTCATAGGGCACATGTGCTCACCGGTGATAGACAGAGAGAAAGAGAGAGAGTGTAAGAGAGAGAAAGAAAGTGAAAAATCACCCTGCAAGAGGGATGGCCACACTCCAACCCCTTATTTTCCATTCTCCTCTTAGGATTTTGGGTATGTATGCAGAGGTGCCCCATATGATTTTCAACCTGCCAGATCTGGAAGGCAAACTGTAGTCAACCATGTGGGAGGCCAGCACCTTAACCACCACACCACCTGCTGGCCCCTAAATTTAACATTTTAAGCATATTTAAGATGTACAGTTCAATGGCATTAAATCACATTGCTATGCACTCATCACTTCCATCGATCACTTTTTCATCTTCCAGTACTGAAACCCTGTACCCATTTTCTTCCAGGCCCTCGTAACCACCATCCTATTTTCTGTTTCTATGGATGTGACAGTTTAGGTACCACATATAAATGAAATTATGCAATATTTGTCCTCTCATGTCTATCTTTTTTGATTTCTTTTTTTCTTTTTTTTTTTTTTTTTTTTTTGCTATAGGGTACGTGTGCTCACCAGAAAGAGAGAGAGAGACAGAGAGAGACAGAAAGCAAGAAATCACCCCCTGGGGGGATGGCCACACCGCAATTCCTTCTCCTTCATTCTCCTCTCGGGATCTTGAACACGCATGCATACACGCCTGGCATGAATTTAAGCCACCGGGTCCAGGACTTGAACTGCAGTCGACTACATGGGAGTTCAGCAACATAGCCATTATGCTAACTGCTGGTTCCTATCTTATATGATTTCAAAGATTCAATTATTTATAAAATAAGCAGAGAAGACATAAGAATCAGAGTTTTTAAAAAATCATTTAAGCATACATAAAGTTTTTTAAATAATTGTTTATTTAATTTTATTTATTACTATTATTTTAAAATTTGACCAGACAGAGAGGAAAGTAAGAAAGCAAACTGCCAGGTTCAGGACTTGAACTGTGGTTGGCCATGTGGGAGTCCACCATCTTAGCCACCACACTACCTGCTGCCCCAGTAAATAAAGTTTTGAATCAACAGAGTTTCTAATACCTTCTTCCTCCAACAGAAGTAAAGAAATTTAGATTAAGCCCTTCTCTAGCAGGTATTATTTTTTCTGCCTCATTAAAAGTATTTGTTTTTGAACATGCTTTTAGCATTACTATTTCTCATAAATTTCTTTGGCCTATGACACCTCACTCTGATGAGCAAGCATACCTGTCATTAGTAACAGTGGCCTATCCTATGTAACTTGGTAACATAGTCTTCGGTCACTAAAAAACGCTCTTGCAAATTGCAGAGACCCTTTCAAATAGATACGACTACCCCTGCTCTCTCTCTCTCTCTTTTTTTTTTTTTTGGAGAGATTTTCACTGTAGGGCGCATGTGCTCGCCAGACAGACAGAGAGAGACATAGAGACAGAAAGCGAGAAATCACCCCCCAGGGGGAATGGTCACGCCGCAATCCCTTCTCCTCCATTCTCCTCTCGGGATCTTGGGCACACACGCACACGCGCCCGGCGTGAGTTTTAAGCCACCAGGTCCGGGACACGAACCGCAGTCGACTACGTGGGAGTCCAGCGACATAGCCATTACGCTAACTGCTGGTTCCCTACCCCTGCTCTCTTTTAAGTGTAGCTGGGGTTGAAAAAGAAACTTAGCTTTGTCCAGGGGTAAGAAATGGGAATCTTTCACAGGAAGAGTACAGAATATAGATCACGCTGTAGGAGTCTGTCTATTCCAAGTGCTCTTTTTTCTTTCTTTTTTTTTTTTTTTGAGAGGTTTTTGCTACCAGGCGAGTGTGCTTGCCAGGGAGACAGAGGGAGACAGAGGAACAGAAAGCGAGAAATCACCCCCCAGGGGGCATGGTCATGCCGCAATCCCTTCTCCTGCAATCCCTTCTCCTCCATTCTCCTCTCGGGATCTTGGGCACGCATGCAACACGTGCCCGCTGTGAGTATAAGCCACCAGGTCTAGGACTCGAACCGCGGTGGACTACATGGGAGTTAGGCACATAGCCATTACGCTAACTGCTGGTCCCTATTCCAATGCTCTTTAACCCA